AGCAAAAAGCACTTGGTGTTTTCATGTACAGCACAGACTGGGTTAGTGGGAGACATGCTGCTGCTGGTGGGCAGCCAGCACCTAAAACAGACGAGTCCAAAACAAGGCTCTTAAATTCAGTATAGAGAGAGCTGGGCTGCAGGGTTGTTGGTTTGTTTTTTTTTGGCAAAGTGACTGTGGTGAAGGGAGGGTCTTTCAAGAGCAAGTACACTGCAGAGTGACCCAAGTGACTTTCAGCATCCAGGTCTTAGCAGCTATCCTCTGAACCCAATGGGAAGCTTTTACTAAACTACAGAAGGAGTCTGTGGGCAATCTGGGATTTTGTGCCCAATCTTTGGAGCTAGTGTAGGCCATAAGCTCATCTCCCACATACATATTTTTGTAATTCCTTCTGATGGTGTAATGCAAAAATATTTTTATATGTACAATATTTAATATATTTATCCTATTAACGTGATATAACATTGTCAATATTTTACATAATTTGCATCTAATGTTCATTTACAGGCAGACATAAATATAAATTTATCACTATGTGTGCATATGGCTGTAACATATGATTAATGTACTGTCAGCGTAATCTAACAGCTCAGAACCATCAGTTGTGCAAATAGTCCTTTCTAGCCATGTTTCCTACTGCTGTTTAGCCCTTTTCCTTCCCTTCCTCCCTCTCTTTCACAGTCTGCCTAACCCCACTTATTTCAGTAGCCAGCCTTAAAATAGCAGGCGAGCTTTGTGCGGTGGCTACTTGGATTTTACACGTGCTGCACAGTGCCTAACAAGTCAGGGCTGTGTTCTTGGTGGCTTCTGGATATGAGAGGAATAGAAGTTAACAGAAATCTTTTCTCCCAGAAATCTCCACATGCAGCTAACAAGGACGAGTTGTCCACATAGCGTTCTTAATTCCCCATCCAACTTCGGCCAGTAGAGCTGTAAATGTACCGTTTCCCTGCACACAATGACTTCTGGCTGGCCTGGGGCTCTGTCACATCTTCCTCCTGTCTACCAGAGCAGTCCGAGCGCTTGCCCTCCTCACACAGCATCTGCAGTGGCTGAGGTGCATTGCACCGACACACCGTGAGTCCACGTGGGAGCCCAGTCACAGAACAGCAGCTGCCCCAAATAACTTTGCAGATCTCTGAGGTGGAAAGGAGCTGAGCTGTCAGAGCCAAGCCCCAACTATCCTCTGCAGGAGTTCTGTTTTCAATAACCTTTCCCAAGAATAGAAGGTAGGGTTTGTTCATGTAACAGAGATGTCTAACATACACATGAGTAATGTCTGTATCATTGCGGTGTTGACTCATATTTCATGGTACAATATATTTTGCATGCTTTATGGCCTAACCCTGAAATTTTTATTTGATGCAAGTGATTCTTGGTCCTCAAAATAGTCCTATCAACTTCATGGGACTCTCCGGACTTCCCATGAAAGTGAAGTTTATAGACAGCCTCACATTTCTCCTTTATGGCCCAGAGCACCAAGCTGACCTTCAGGGCAGTTCTGTGCCGTGGTGTCCGAAGCGCTCACCTTTTCCAGGTGCGGTGCTGCTCCTCCTGGACCAGCTCTGCAAAGTGGGCTGAAAACACTTGTGGTGTGTACTAACCACCTCCAGACTGCTCTGCTCAGGGACAGGCACCTGCCTTATTTCACTCGCTCTGCTTCCTGAAATCCCTGCTTGCATTTACACCCTGGGAAACTGCTAAATTTATGGAGGCTTAATTTCCACCCGTTTTTGGAGCTCTATTCTTGTGCGTTGTTCTCTGAACAAGCACTGACACTTCTGTAGTGCGTTGCTGCCAGACACGCTCTGCTTGGTGACTGCGGAACAAACCCACCAGCGCTGAATGCCCGCATCATGCTGCACTCACATGTTGCTGTGCTGAAAATCATGTATCTGCCTGTATCTCGTCCTTCTTACTGAACATTTCAAACTTTGAACTGATAATTTGTAATGAACTCTCTGATAGATGGTGGATTTCCTTCTTCTCATTTGCCTTCCCTATCTCCCAGCAGCGTGTCAAATGATTACACTTATTTCCTCCAAAAAATTCAGACAGTGAAAACTAAATGTTTCAAGATCTCAACAGAAAACTGATTCATAACAATTCATTGTTGCCTGTGAAACACGCTTGTCACAGAATTTCCCTTTATTTGAAAAATCAGTTTTTCATCAGAAGCATTCTCTTCAGAGCTTTTCTCCCAGGCTTTTCTTCAGCATCCAGTCCTTCTAACAGCTCCTGAGGTGCAACATCTGCTGACTTCAGTCAGTTGCACCCCAGTAATTGAAAGCAGAGTTCTGTCTGTTATTTGTAAGGTGTGTTGAATGGACAAAACCTTACAGTGACTGAAATGCTAGGATTAGCAGCAAAGCGATCCTCTCATTTAGTCCTCCACTCTACTCGCATGTATCAGATATGAAATGTTTAATAAACTGCAGTTTAAGGGTAAGGGTGATGTACCCCTCAGCATATTCCTCAGTCTGAATTACTGAGTAAACTGCTTTTAATAGGTTTGTGTTTCCATTTACATGGAATGTACACAAAAACAGATCAGGTAGGTTGTGCAGCTTCCTCCATTTTCGTGTTGGATGGTTCTTTCTTTGACATATTAGTGGTAAATTATGAAGGCCATTTTCTTCTTTTATATACTTAATGTACATCATGCATACTTACAAGTACACGTTTTGCATCCAGTGTGTAGGCTCCTGTGAAATGAAAAAAGCATCTCCCCAAACCTACCAGTGTGGCACAGCTTCCTTTAGCTCACAGATGTATTTGGCATGTAATCATCACAGACTCAGACTTGTTTTTCAGATGTCTCATAGCACACGTATCGCGTTCTGCCTTCACATTTCTGTGTGATTTCTTCCACCCCAGGCTGTGTTAAGTGTATTTCATGTACTGGGAGTTTTTTGAAACACGAGTAATCTTACAGCTAATACACATGCCCTGTTTCTGATAATTATACATTTGAATTTAAATTGCGCTTTTCTCTGTGCTAGTGGCATGGTTCTTCCGTGGCTCTTCTAATCTCCAGTCCGTGCTTGTTTCACAGATGTACTGATCAGCAGAGCTTCAGCTCCCACTTTGAATTTCTTGCTACCGAAAAACTTTGTATTCAAGATGTTAATGTGTGCTTAAAGGGCAAGGTCCTTGGATGCATTTCCTCTGAGAAAAGTGTCCCAGGCACAAAGCTCCAAAGTTTGCAGCCAACACCTACTGTAGTGAAAGTCTGCAGGGCAGAGAACCACTGAAATGGTTTTTCCAGAATGATCTGTGATAGTACGGGTAGAATGGGGAGTCACAGAATCATAGGATTCTGTAGCAGTGATGGAACGACATGCTTTTGGTCCCTGTTTTTAGAAAATCAGCATGAAAAGAAATGTTTGCAAGGAACTGCAAATCTGTTGAATGTTTAAATACCTTTAATGTAACCAACGTGTTTTATTTTGAAGTGAGAAAGATCTTAGACCCGCTAGAAACAGTTCAATAAAAGCAAAGTTGTGGTCTAAGTACATACTAAAAATATTTATGTACAATCTTCAGGCATACAAGTAGACCCAAATTAGTAGTGTTATTCAGGGGATTAAGTTTTATAAGCATCTGAAACATGAAGCTTTGCTGTGTTACACTTCAGTTTTTGCCAACAGCAGTTCTGTAATAGCCCAGTGAGCGACGTCACCGCTAATGACATTTCAGAAGAAGCAAACAAAATATTTATTATCTAATTCATTGTAAATTTTAATCGCCAGCTGTAACAGCACAGGTTTTTACAGGAATTTTTTTGAAGTCCTGACCTGTTTCAAATCAGTGAGGAAAAATGCTGGTGTCGTTCCTATGATCTGTGTTTTCAGTTCTTCCTTCAGTCATTTCTCTGAGCAGTTGAATTCCAAAATCTCAGGGTGTTACCTCAACGTTCATTTGCTCTGCTAAGTTTTTGCATTAGTAGGCAAACACAGAAGTCCAAAACGTAGAACTCATGTTGTGATGTTAAATGCTGGTAGAAAAACATGTAGGTGGTTACAATAGCATGGAACAGAATCACAGAGCCACTAAAAGCTGATTAAACAGCGTTGATCAGTCATTCTAAATAAATGAGAAGGAACAGAACTGAATATTGTGAGGAATAAGGATGGGACGTGATTTTTCAGCAAGAAAAGCTTTCCTGGCTTAACACAAAAATATAATGTGTTAACAGAGTCTTAAAATCAATATACAGCGAATTAGCAGTCAGCAGAGAACAGCCAGATGACAAGGGGAATGATTCATTTCTCAGAATGACTAAGATCTCAGGCAGCTTGTTGTGTGGAGTGTTTGGAGCCTGTGAATACAGTTAAAAGAAATTCCTTTAATTTGATCTGGAAGTATGTTTATGACAGATGTAAAGCACTTGAATTCTACTGAGGATTTCCTCTTGTGCTGCAGCCTTCCCGACTCTACTCTTTACAGCTGTTCTTCAAGTACTGACTACTAAGCTAGACAGCCTAGTCCTCTTACACCTTATTACATGAAAATGCAGTTTCCAGCTCTAGCTGAGTAATTAGATAACCCAGCGCTGCTAAGCTAATGATAATGAAGTGAAGAGGAAAGGATCCCTAAATAATTAGATCCTTTTTTTAGGGACTGAAAAGAAAATACATTTTGATGTTTTTCAGAAGGCACTCAGGCATCGGCTTCTACCTCTTTCTTTCATTTCAGCTTAAAATTTACCGCTGGTTCATCAGAAGCAGTGTGGCCTTAGGTGTTCCAGCTGTAAATGAATGTGGATTGCTTTCACTTGGGAAAGGACAGCTTCTGACATTTGTCTGAATATTAATGTTGAATCGGATGGAGGAATCATTATGGCTGATGTTTTTTGGTTAAGTTGAAGATGTCAGAAGCCTGTGTTTAAGTTTTCCTGAAACAAATGAACATTTTTGGCAGGTTTTTTTTATTACTTAAGTCTCAGTTTGAATTCAGATTTCTGCTTTTTTCTTTCTTGCTTGCCTTTTTTTTTTTCTTTTTTACATTTTGACTATCTGTGAACTTCTCTTTTCTCTTTTTGGTGGGTTGAGAGAAATCTCAGAGCTGCTGTGAACTGGGGACAAAATCTTGTCTTCAATTGCAGCTAGCACCTTCTGGTTTTGTGCTGCCATTCTATCCGTTGCTCTTTCTCGTTTGGTCATTTAGGATATTTTCAGAGGAGCCTTTGGCCCATTTTTTGAGTTCTCCCAGCCCAGGTTTTCAGAACTGAGTCCTGCAGTTCCCGCTGATGTGTTTGCAGGTAACGAAGCCCTGAAGCTGCTCAGTTATTTTGAAAACTTGGCCACGTATTTGTGTCAGCTTTGGAGCTAAATGCTGCACTGGTGCTGTGTGGCTGAGCTTTTCTGCTCTTTCTGACCTGAGAGGGCACTGTCTGCAAGTTCAGGCTGTGCACACATCAGGGCTGCAAGCTGTCTGTAAGTCTGGGCAGCCTCGTCTTGCTTGGATTTGGAGGATGCTAGAAGACTTGTAACTGGCTCCAGTCAACAAAAGGGCGCTCTTGTGTCCTATGAAACTACAGCACAGAGGCAGGCCAAAGGTAGATGCAGACCCACATTGTTAAATTCCAACTCTTAAATGCTTCTATTAATTTTCTGAGGTTTGTGTTTTCCTTCCCTAGTGCTAGCAGCCTCCTGCTTCAGCAAGTGCAGTGGCTCTTTCTGTAGTGCACCTTACTGAGCCCTGCAATGAGAAGGAAGATGTGAAGGTCAGATTTAAGGAGAGGGATGAACCCAAACTCAGAGGGAAGCGCTCCTGATGGAGCAGAGAATGAATGGCCCTTGTGCAGGGACAAGAGCAGCTCGTGCCTGGAGGCAGAAGGGAGTACAAGGTGAAGCTGAGAACAGGGAGGGAAATTCTAGATGTCTGTAAGATGAATAGCAGTAAGTTCAGTAGGAAGCCTGGTAGGCACAACCACCATAGCAGAAATCTCTCCAGCACACACACTGTGCTTCCATTTATTAATCTCTCATTTGTCAGCCTTCCCATTCAGAGCCTTGAGCCTTGTGAACTGCACCTGAGTTTCTGGGCTTGGCTTGAGATCCAAACCAGGGCGCTGCCAATTGCTGCTGCGGAGCCACAGACTCTCCCACTGAAGCACAGAGCACATCTTCAGCCCCACTGGTTCTGCTGCAGGGGGTAGCAGGTCGCTGTGCTGTAACTCCCCTGAAGGCAAGGCCCATGGGTGGCTGTACACATGCCAAACGTTTTTGGATTAACATATCCAGAAGCACTTAAGTGATTCAGAAGCCGACATCCCCAGCAGTTTTGACTTCTATGCCATCTCTAAATTGCTTTGACTTTCAGAGAGAATGGGGCTATTCAAATGTTTATTCACTTCTAAAAACATTCCCTGTGGTGCTTAGCAAATATCAGTATATTCCCTCTTCAGAGGACTGGGGTGAGTAGCAGCCCACTGCTCTTGAGTAATGAGGAGGAGAAGTGAAGACCTGTCCCCTCCTGGTATCTCTGCTTTGGGGAGAAAGTGTGCAGGTTGTTTTTTTTTTCCAGGACTTCTGAAGTTCCTTGTTTTTGTCAGTTCTCTGTTCCTTATTTTAATTTTGTTTCCTTTGGCCCCTTTCTAACACTTCTGCCTTATAATTTGGGTGGGAGGTGGAAGGGGAATGGCTTTTTCTTTCCCCTTTATTGTGGCAGAGAATGGGGGATGGAGGCAGGCTTTCCTGGACTTTTATATTCAAAATACCTATAAATAATTAGTTGCAGGGACCTAGCTTCCCCCTCCTTTTAAGGCCTAATTTAGGTTCTTTATCAAAATGATTTAAAATGCCTTTCTCAGTAGGAAACCATATTTCAGAGCTTTTATTTATTAGACTTCTCAAAAAGTGTGTTTTTAATGCACATCCTGACTTTCTGCCAAAACTGTCCACTGAAACACTGGGACTGGAGCAACCCTTTGTAAAGGGAGTTATATTTATTGGATTTTTACATATTGATAAAAAACAATTCATCAAAATAAATCATACACAGAATCGGCACATAAATCTCCCAGTCCTCACTACACACTGTACTATATTACCATCCTGACAACCTTCTCTCAAATACAGGAAAACTTTTCTCATGATGTACATTTCTTTAGCTCTCCGAAAGTATCCATAGTTTTCCTGAGCTGCACTGGTTGGTTGTTTTGAGCTGTAGGAGTTTGGGGTGTGGATTTTGTTTCATTATGTAGGGACAGGAAAACCTCACTGTATTTTCAGGCAGAGTAAGGCAGCCCTAAATGCCACAAAATATGCGAGGACTTCTAAGTACTAAAGCAAAGTCAGATTTCATAATAGGTGCTTGAATATCTGAATGCTATTGTGTTGTGAGCCCTCTGTGGCACAGAGAAATCAAATCCTTCTGTTCTAAGCAGCACAACATTGCCAGTACTGCATAGCTAGTCTGGGGAGTGCGCTTCGCTTAAGCAGTTTCAGGATGTTCAGAACAAGTGTGTGTCTGTCTGTCTCGTAGTGGATGTAGACTGGACCCATCCATTCTGGGACACCCTCTGTCCCCCTTCCAAATTAGTTCCTGCTCTCTGAGCAGAAGCTGCATAAAGACAATCTGAGCCTAATTATATTAAGTACATACAAATCTGTAAACTGGACTATGCAAGACTGTGATTCAGTGTAATCCTCTGGAAATTTACAGTAAAGAAAGCTTCTCTTGGCTGTATTTTGAGTACCTCTCAGATGCAGATCCTGGGGATGTGAAAGCCTTCTCTAAAAATGAAAGTTCAGTCTTTCCCCATGCTGGTTCAAGAGCTGTGGCTTTCCAAAGGGGTTTTGTAGTACCAGGACCATCACTCCAGAAGGCTCTGGTGTTTCTGACAAAAGGGCTCTGACATCCAGGCAGCGTTTGTGAAAGTTCAGAGTTTGGAAACTGGGAGCTCTGTAATAAATCATTGCAATAAAAGGTAGAACAGATTCTAGCAAGTGTTCAATCACTCAGCATGGTGCCACTTAGAGGCAGAAGACCTTAAAACAACCAGCAAGATGTCTGCAGAAGAAACCTCCGCTGCCAGCTCTCAGCACTCTGTATCCTGTCATTTGACGCCTTTCATCTCGGGTTAGTTCAGCAGAGGGGCTGCAGTGCAGGCTGGGTCAGGATCTGAACCTGGGCACTGCTGATGAGGTTTAGTTCAGATATCGTGTGGGAAAGGGCTTGTGCTGTGCACCAAATGGAATCTGGAAACACTTGGGGCTAATAGCTTGCACCCTACCGTGCTGTGTAACCAACTGCCCCTCGTGGTTTGGGGCTTTAAGATAGTTAGGGGTGGCTGGTGCAGATAAAACCATTCAGCTCTTCCAGTCCCCTCCCAGGACTCAGAGTTCAGAAGGCAGGACATGCAGCTGCAGAGCCACCGATCTCTGGGGGTTGCTGGTCACATCACAGCACTGGAGGAGCAGGGCACACCTCCTGAGCCAGCCAACACGCACCACATAGTGAACAAAGCAGGGATTAAATGACCAGCAGGGCACTTCCTTAGGGTGTGCCCTTCTGCCTCTGAAGCCCCATATACCCCAAGTTAAGTATTTTTCCACCAGATGAACTAACAATTTGAACTAGCAATGCCAGCAGCCCCACAGATGGAGGGCCAGCGGTAGGTGTTACAGGCCAGTATCTCCCACCAGCACTTTCTCTGCTGTGGAATGCGAAATGTGAAGATCACAGCTACCTTTCAGTAAAAGAAAATCAATATCAAATGCTGAGATAATTTTCCTAGTTGGAAAAACAGTTCTTGATATAAATGTGCTTTAATTATCAGTAGTGAAACTGAGGCAGTAAGGTGCAAAGGCTGAGAAGAATGCAGGTGTTCAGCTGTCGCTGTTTCCCAAATCTGTCATTAGGAACGTACCTGGAGAAGAAAAACAAACATCTGGGTGAAAAAATAAAATAAGATGCTTTCCCTGCAGGAATTATTACTGTGGGAGAAGGGGAATTCTGCTCTATGCCAGCATCTCGCATCACCGCAGCAGTTCATGGTTTTAAGGGTAACTGTTTCAGGTCTCTCTCTCTCGTCAATTCAGTTTGTAAAAGGGGTGACAGGATTAATTTTTAAGTTCAGAAATAAGTGCACTTGTATAAGGAGAATTTAAGTCTGTATTTATTACTTCTCATTGTAAGTAATTTTATTCATAAACAGATTAAATATAGGCAGCTAAAAAGCAATATGCACCAGTAGTAATTTCAGTGAATGATGACTCTAACATTTTTCTTCTTTAACATCCAAAGACAGCGGTTACATTTTTACCTTAAAATGTATTCCATAAAAGGGCAGAAGTCTTTTAAAATACTTGCAAACTTACCTCAGGAGAACAAATTTGTTTGGATGATAAACAAAAGTTCTGGTTTTAGTTTGGTTTAAAAAGAAAAAAAAAAAACAACTTGAATTATATGTGAATGTCATACAATATTTCCATGTACTTTCAAGAATAATTGAAGCATATGTACCCAAAGTGTAATACTTTTTATAATGGTTTCAGACTAAATTATCCATTATATGGGACTAACACATAAAAGCCTTTCCTCTACATCAAGTGATAGATCAAAGGGAGGAACGATGGCTTGTCCACATGCATAAACCACACCTCTCAAATTCTGAGAACAAGGATATGCAGTCTGCATTTTAACTACATCTCCATGACATGAAACAGTATTCTCGTGTCTCCTACTGTGGGAGAGTCAGGTAGTCCTGGCTACAAAGATTTCCTTTTACATTTCTCCCTTTTTTTTTTTTTTGTTCTATCTCATGGATGACATTTCAGTGACTAGTCCCAGGTGAGTTTAATTTGAAAACTAAACTTCACTCAGATCCTCCCTGGGCAGTGGGGAAACCTGTTGAGATGGAGTGTGATTCTCAGTTATTTCAAGGTAGATCTGTGAGCCCAGCCTTGCAACCTGAGGGAAACTGCAGGGCATGCACATGGTGCTACACAAAGCCTGAGCAGCTTCAGAGGCACAACCTGAGGATGCCTGTTCCACAGCTGCCTCCTTCTGCTCACCTGAGGATGGCCTTAATGGTTAGGGTGCATTCTCCGAGTCAGACCTGCTCCCCTCTACTGGCCGCTCTTTTGGGCTCAGAGGAATTTAATACTTCGTGTTTGTGCCACTTTCCTATCTGCAAAATTAAGCTGGTAGTACTTCCACCCTCATAGGGATTCCTTATCTTCTCTGTCTACCTAAAATGCTTTCTCTCATGCGGATGCTTTGAGGAATACAAATGTTGAGCATTATGACTGGTAAGCAGCAGGGAATCACTTTAAGATACAGACCAAACAGCCTCAGCTTTTGGGGTACTTTTTCTGAGTTTTTCCTACTTACTTCCATATTAGCAATAAAAAAAAAAAACAATGCAGGCTCATTGTTACAGTGGCACAATTAAAGATGTTTGCGTTTGAAATTTGACTGCAGTAGAAAATTGAAGATGTACAGTTTCATAGCAGTATGTCCCCAGGTCTGGCCTTCCAGACAGCAGATTGGATGTTAGCCTAGTTATTCCCAGTAACATCTGGTTCATGAGCACTGATGTACTACATGATCAGAGAATAAAGTTCCTCAAAATAATGTATTCTCACCAAAATGTAAGCGTACCTTTTATTATTGTCATGGTTGCTAAACAATGTGAAGTGCGCTGGGGAAGCGCTGAGTTGAGGCACCAGAAGAAGAGGCTGCGATCATGGAAAGGTTGAAATTTCTCCTCTGATCATTTCTGACAGCTCAGAGTGGTTCTTCCACAATTGGAACCACTTGTGCTGCTTATTAATATAATGAAACTTATCCTCCAGCAAAAACAGAACCAAAGGTTGACACAAGAGTGGAGGGAGAGGCTGAAACCTGATCTGGTTAGGGATCTCTTAAAGATGATGGAAGTCTAATAAAATCCAGTCTGCTTCCTACCTCCGTTACAACTCCCACTCCCAGTCTGTCTTCACAAGCT